CGCTTCTTGTCAGCTCCAACCGTGGCGGCAGCGTTTTGTCAAGATCTTTTAACTAGAATTCAATAAGCGCTCAACTAAGTCCTAAAAGACTATTTATATGGTATATTTTAATTTTTTATTTAAATAACTACTTTAATTTAAAATTTGATCAAACGGTAAATTTATTTTTCAAATCAAGAGTCAATTAATTTATTTATATTAATAAACCAAACTAAAGGGTTGGGAAATAGGTGATTCTCAGTACAGAATTGTATATATTTGTTAGAAAAAGGATTGCTTTCCAAGATACATTTTTAATGATGAAATTCATAATTAAGTCAAATCCAGGAGCTTTAGCCATAGGCAAGCTCTGAATAATATTTTGAACCTCGTAAGGATGAATAGCATTTGGTGGTAATGCGTACGTTAAGTTGATTTTGAGCAATTATAGTAGATACATAATTGGTAAATGGTTGACTGTCGTGGATAATGGAGAGAAGAATAGTTGGGGCGGTCAGTCAAAAAAGAAGGCAAAAATAAATGATAATATTTATTTTTACATATGCCGAAGTTTCGACCTGAAGTTCAGGCCATCATCAGGGCTAAGAAAAGAACCAGATAACAAGGTATGAGAAACATAAAAATTACAGTAAAATGAAGTTGTTAGAATAATGACAATAGTAAGAACAAGAGACAAATAATAATAACATGTACAAAGTGTGGAATGATGAAGTAAACATAGTCAAAAAGGTGACATAAGTATTGTAAAGGGAATCTTAGAATAAAATGTAAAACAGAAAAATATGAAGTTATATAAGAAATGGAAATAAATAGTAAAATTAAGATATAGTGAATAGAATATTTAGATAGAAAATTGAGATGTTGTGTAAAGTCTATCAATATGTACAGATAAAGTATGAAATAATAAAGAGTTAAAACAGAGAAAAGGAATGAAAGGAAGGAGGAGAGAAACTGAGAAGGTTGAACTTCAGGTTGAACTTCAGGTCGAAACGTCGGCATAAGTAAAAATAAATATTATCATTTATTTTTGCCTTCTTTTTTGACTGACCACCCCAACTATTCTTCTCTTCATTAATTATAGTAGATAGTTTTGTCATTTATATCATCATGAGGTTTGAATGTTTCTTCGAGATGGTGAGCAAACAATTGTGCTTTTTAAGCATCTGACTGCCGAATAGCCATCAGGATGTCTGAGAGGATGAGAGACAGCATAATGCTGGAGGATCCGTTGGTTATAGCCCAAAGTGGTTTCACATATTAGTTAGAGCATTCAAGAAGTTGTCAAAATTTTCAGTCTTTGTACGTCTTATTTCTTCATGAAGCAGTCGAGTTAGTTTGTTAAACTTATATTTGTCAGATGGGTAACTAGTTCTTCGTTACGAGCGTTTCGTTTTTATAAGATGAGACGACTTATCTCCGGTGAAATATAATTATGGTGAGGTTTGTCTGTCTTTCGCACAGAAATTTGCAGATTGAAAATTTAATTTTTATATCCAATTTTATTTTATGTATTAATAATAATAATAATAATAGCTAAATATTTTGTCCGAGTATTTGGGACTAATGCCTAAAATCGGTCTTGTTTTTGCTCTTTTGCAAGTCCGCCTGACTGTTGCAAGAGCAAGACTGTTAAAAAAAAAATCTTTTTTTTGTTCATAAAAATTAAGGCAAAATAGTTACTAAAACTTAACAGTTTTAGTCACTAAGTGTAAAAAATTGGTATAACCAATATACTTTAGTATGCAACTCTTCCAATTTTTCACTCTGGGTTAGTTAGGTTTTTACTATCTCAAAAATTACACTTATATCTTTATAGAAATAGGCTAATAGGTACCTGCAACTGTTGCGAGACTCTTCCAAAAGACTGAGTGGGCAAGACAAAGACTTGTGTTTTGGCAACTTGTCAAGACTTGTCTCGCATTTGGGCAACACTATTTGGGACAAATACAACACAATACTCTAACACAATAAAATATGAATTGACAACAAGTAAATAATAATAATAAATAAAATAAATTTATAAAGAAATCAACAGATTTCCAAATAAAAATGCTCTTGGCTATGATTTAATCACTCACTTTATTCTTCAATAACTAACTCAAAAAACTGTTTTCCTTCCCACACCCAAAACTTTCCTCAATTAAAATGATATCTAAACTCTCAAAATCTACTATGATAGCACTTCTTACTCTAATGGGAAAAATAGTTGAAAAACATCTTTTGCACCTTCTAAAGCCTATCCTAGAAAGTAATGAAGTGATACCAAATTATCTGTTTGGCTTTCTTTGTTATAACTCTACTGTGCAACAGTTCCATCGGATAGTGGATGCTAATCTCTGTTGCTTTTGAGGAAAAGGAATATTGTTCCACGGTTTTCCGTAACATGGAAAAAGCCTTTGATAGCATCTGGTACATTGTCCATATTATGGAAACTAAAACCGCACTTACCTTCTACATATTTTCTAATGTTTCAATCATCCCCTCTTAACAGGATTTTCTGTATTTTCGTAGATTCTGCTGTATCCTCTTTTTTTCCTCAATACATTGGTGTGCCCCAAGGTAGCATTTTAGCCCAATTCTATATTCCCTATAAGGTCTATTCTCTGTACCCTATGATATGCATAAGCACTCTAGCACCACCATATTATGTTCGCTAAGGACAATGCAATTCTTTCATCCAACAAAAATCCAACTGATGCTTCAATTGATCTTCAATGCCACCTTTATGATCTTCGAAAAATAGAAAACTAAATAAATGAAGTTGAAGTCGAATGATAAGAAAGTCCATGTACTGGATAGAGAGAAATATAAGGCAGAGATTGAAAAAGCCAAGAACTGCTATATGTGCCTGATGAGCAAAACAAAGAAAAAGAAGTGTCATCTACAGAACATGATTTTTTTTTTCATCGCAAGCCATGGAATTATTGGGGTCCCAATGTGGCCCCAGGACCAGAAATCTTGGAGACCCCTGATGTAGATTATGACAACATGAAAGTAAAAATTTATATTTTAAGGCTTTAAATAAAATATCAATACCTCACAATGAAATATAAATAAATTTATTATAACTGGTTGAATGCTTAATCAGGCCTCGTTTATCACTAACTAACCCGAATGTAATAATGTCCCCAGCCTTTAGGTTAGATGATTTCTCGAAGAACCAACAAAAATAAAAATAAATAAGTTTTGACTTGATTGACCGTGTTTATCTATAAATACTACTTCGGCCCATTGAGACATTTTGTTTATTGTAACGTACGACTAAAATATACCGGATAGGCGTTTACTTCATTCTGACCGCAGTTAAACGCGTTTCTACAGTTAAAACCCTCATTGCTGGCATAGCGGAGTTTGTAATTCTTTGACTAAGTACTTTTGCATTAAGTCTCCGTGAACTTTTGCGTCATGGGGCTTGATATATGTGAGGGGACAGTTAAGTGGCCGTCCTGTATGGAGATATATTCTTTTTAAGTTCGGCTTAAAAGCCTCAAGCAACTGACGGATAATTTCTCAACGCTCATTCCATTGTTGGTAACCTAACTGAAACAGTACTATACATATGTTAATATAAACTTTGACCTTAAATTATAGCATTTAAACGTGCCCAATAGTTTAGAGAAATATTCAAAATTCTCTAACAGGAATATTGAAACTTCTATAGAAACCTGTACGTAACATCGGTGGCGCAAACTTGAAATTCTGCTGAATAAAAACTGCATATTGATAAAGAATGATAAATGGGAGGGAACATTTGTGAAACATAAAAAAAAAGTGTATTTCAGACTAAGAGGGCTCTGAAACGTGAAGATCAATTGAAAAACGCACAACAAAAATTTGACCCGTTCGCAATACATTCCTTACTTAGAAGCTGCTGGAAAGTAAAAATATGGAGTAAGAAAATCTAGCATCTAAGAGGACAAAAGTAAGAGATCTGCTCAAGAAAAATGGGAACATGTGTAAAAAGTTTCTTTGGATTCTATACTGCGTCTGAAGAGGAGGGAGGGGGATATTTCGACTTTGGACTCAAGATTCTTAATTACTGGAACAGCCTTAACCATGTGTCCATGCCAACATACTCTTAACATTATAATTAGTTCTTAATTAATTTTAACCCTTAATGCTATTTTGAATTTATAAATTTTAAGACAAGTTGGAACCTGTTACTTTTGTTGCATTCTGTCAACTATTTATATAAATATAAGCATTTTAGTTTATAGAATGATTAACTCCAATTTCAACATTTTTTATTATTAATTTTAGTGATATTTCTTTTTTCACAGTTATATATTTCAATATTGCAATCACCTTCAATCACCTGCTCTTGAATCAACTCACTGTCTGTACTGTTATTATAAATTTTCCAACTAGAAATATCACCGAAATGACATTGCTCAAAAATAGCCACGACATAATACTTGACGATGAGAAATTTTTCTCTTTTTTTTGGTGAATTTTTTCTTTTTAATATACTAAAGAGTCAGTAATATACTCCGTGAAAATACTACGGAAATTTCACCACCGATATTAAGATGTGTTTTATTTGTCACACTGTCATAATCAATGGTTTTTTTTTATGATAAAAATAATTATTATATCGAATTCATTTCTTAATGCACTGTAAATATTTGACTAAACCTAAATTCTTATCTGATATCCAGAGTGACTATTCATTGTGCAATCTATATAAATTATTTCGTTTTTTTTTTTAGATTACATGAGTGATTCTCGATCGCAATGAACCATGATCTGAAGTTGAATAGTTAATTAAATAAATAATTTCTAAAAAAAAATCTTAAATAAATAAGAATAATTGAAATTTAAAAAATATTCAATTATCAACGTTTAAATAGGCATGTACTAAATTATTATTTTTTTAATATTATGAAGTATTTTAATATTCTGCTTATTAATCATTCAAAGATGTTATTATCTTTCAAACATTAATTACGTTGACGATAAGTTTAATAAACAATATTTGTTGATTTTGTTTTTATAACTAAATAAATAAGAATAGAATAAAATATACGAAACAAAAGATGAACCATATTCTATCTATAATAATTTGTATATATTCTGGAACGCCGCTTCTACAACACGAACCTAGAACAAATTTTACAATCATTAACAATAATGAAAACTGTTAAAAATAATGAATATTTATTATGTTAAGATAGAAAATAAAAATTAATTTAAATTTTGCTAAATATTTGTCAGGTTTGTTTACATTTAATAACAATATAATCTGCATTAATTAAATATATTTCCCTTTTCATAGTTTTTATATTTTCTTGAGCCTAAATAATTCTCGTATTATTAGCTAGTTAAGTTTCAACAACGTGAATGAAGTTCTGATTAAATTGTTAACAAAGTCTGCATACTAATAACATTATTAGTCATATTTTGTTTATAAAATTATCAAACAAAGTATCTTTAATCATTAATTTTGATGAATCCATTGTTTTTTTAATTTATGGAAATTCTAATAATTTATAAAAAAATACATAAAACTTCGTTGAACTTAAATTGAGAAAGATATAAATTAACTTTAATTAATTTAAAAAACAGATCATGATTCTTGTACTTGTTCAACCGAAAACATTTTTACAAAATATTGCAAGAAATTAGATTGAGAACGCTTTTTTTTTTTTTTTTTTTGTGAAACTGTTGACTTGAAATTAGAAAAGAATTACTAAAACTTACGTGGGGCTGGATAGATTCCCAAATAGATACTAGTGCATCTAATTGGACATCTTGCTCTCCGTCAGGAGGAGCAACGTAAGAGTCCAACATTTTTTTAAAGTCTGTTAGATCGCCATAGAGCAGCGTTGAAGCATATTCTGAAATAAAATATATTACGTATTGTATTTTAAATATTAAAAAAATTAAATCATCCTTTTCTGATGTATCAACAATAATATTTTTTACAACTAAAACGAGTAATTTTATAAACGTTATATTGTAGTTCCTGTATTAAAATATTATGATCTCATAAAACTATACTTTATTAAAAGATCATCATCTTTATATTAAATACTATAATTGTAATCATAATCATCGGATGTGATCTTATCTCTACTAATATATAAAACTCAAGTCCTATATATTTGTTATATTTTTATTTATTAATTGAAATTTACAAGTGTATAAATAAAATATAATGGATAAATCTACGAGATTATGAACCATCAAATTTTGGGGTGACCAAGGAATAAGGAATACCTATTTTGGAACAAGTTGCAATAAAAAAAGTATTAAGAACTTTAAGGATAATTTTGACATGTTAAATGAAGATTAACATGATCATTGACACTACAAAGACAAAAGTAATGAGAATAGGGAAGATACGGTCCTCGAACAAGTGGAACATTTCAAATATCTAGGCGCGCACCTAAATGAAAATGACTATATTGATACGGAGGTTACTGAGAAAATGGTAAGTGCTGGCAGAATGTTTAAAGCGGTCAAGAGAAGATTCCTGGACAGACGAGAGGTGGACAAGAAGACAAAAGTACCTGTGTTTAGGTCAACGTTTCTCTCCATTCTGACTTATTATTCGGAATCATGAACGATAAAAAAAATCAATCAACAATACAAGCGTCAGAAATGAGATTTCTCAAAAAAATTCAGGGGAAAACATGAAGAGACCGAATCCGCAACACTAAAATTAGGGCGAACCTCAACGTTAAACCAGGTCATGAAGATACAGAAGTGAATAGCCTAAGATGGATGGTGGTAAGATGGACATCTCCTAAGAATGGAGCCTACCAGAATTGCTAGGAAGGTCTATCAAGTCAAAGGTTGACGGAAAGAGAGGAGAAGATCGACCAAAAAATAAATGGAAAAACGAAGTAAAGAAGGATTTCCAGAATGAGAGAAGGCGTTTAGTGGAGGACCGGCATAATTGGAGAAAGCTCTATAGACTTCCTCCTCGCACTGCATCGTCGGTACTAGATAAGAGAATATGATGACGAAGGATAACTTCATTTGTGATTTTACGGCCGATTTTGGATTTATGGAATGAATATAGGAGAATTTGAAACTATTGTGGTGCGCCAAAGCTCGACTGTCATACCTATTCTCACTTATGGAAGCGCAACCTGTGCCTTAAGCAATGCGATGGCAGTCGCCAACAAAGCATGGCAATGAAGGGGCTGACAAAAATAGAGAGGAAGACCAATAGAAACCGGATACGTAAGACAAAAATACGGACTACGCTCAAAAGTGAATCCTTCAATCCAATGATTTAGAAAAACCAGCTTCGAAGGTTCGGTCATTTAATGAGGATGGATGATTACCGTCAGCGAAGAATACTATGGAGGCTAAACCAGTGAGAATACGATCAAAGGGAAGGCCAATAATTAGTTTGAAAGAAAACCTAGAAAACATCCTTAATGGAAAAGGGATCGAATGGTAGGAGAGATATAGCACTCCTTGTGCAAACATCTCTTCCCTGGAAGGTAGAAGAGATCATCGAATAAGAGGAAGAAGACCATTGCTTAATTACATATGTCCAAATGGGATTTTCGTAAATGAGATTTTCGTAGAATACTGGAAGTTTGGAGCGTTTTCAAGTAAGCATTGTGGCAATAGTAATCAAGAAGTAGTTTCTTTTTGTTTCAGTCCGTGTATCATAGTGTAAATTACAGCAGATAATTTAATTCAATAAAATAGAGATGAATTGAGGGCAACACATGGCGGAATGATTTTTTCACCTCATAATTCCTCAAGACAAACTAAACTTAAAGTCTAGAAGTTTCAACAAGCGGTCTTGTAAAGAAGAAAAAATTATTAATTAATTAAGGAAAATATTATACCCGATCTATATATTTTACTAATCCGTGACTCTATTCATTTAATATTATAACGAGACGTAATCAGCAGTATAGCGTTCATTTAAAATGACAAGGTTTAAACTAAAACTTCTTCGATATGCTAAAAACCATTTTTTTATTTACTCATTTTGAAACATACCATTTCAAAGGATTAATGTATAGTAGTGTGTTTGCATTAAACTAACTGCTGAAATTGACAGATTTGAAGGAATATTCATGATCTGCTTTTAGTTTTTAGTTTGGTATTACCTTAGAGGTGTCAATATATTTTCGTTGATGGCACTACATCTCATGATCACACCATTAATAGGATTTGAAGAATGACCGAATGTGTCCGAAAGTTAACGAAAGTGTCCGATCCTCAACGGTAAGGCCCTGACCTCAACTGCATAGAGCCCGTTGAGGGATTATTTATACTTTTATAGAGCGCTCAGCGAAGGGAGTCGAACGAAAGGATGTAATTAAAGCAAATTAACGTTCCGATTTTAACGGGTAGGGAGTTTGCCGAAGTCCCCTTGCGATCTAAATAAAGGGAGGTTATACTATAGTTAACCTATCGAAGGTAGTGAGGACTTTCTAAGTAATACATTTATTCATAATGCCTGTTACAAATGACATTTTAACATACAGAGTAATACTATGAACATATGAGTTGACTATAACAGTTCACTCCAGGTCTTCCCTGGCAAGAACGTAACTGCAAGAGTGAATGTTCTGTAGACTATGGGGTTAATATACCCAGGAATAGTAGAGGGGTGAAGGAATTCTGGGAAGTCTAAAGATCCTGAGAAAGGGCCTTTTAATGAAATCTATTATTGTTCCCTAAGTCTTGATAATGGTTCTTAATGTGTCCAGTCAGTGTCTTTTAGACAACTACTTCTAAGCTATCAGGTATAGCTTGATCTGGCTATCTAGAGATTACTCCTTTTATCTTTGAGTTATGAGAATTGTCAATACAATACATGATTCACCAATTGCAGTATTAAAAAAAAACAATTATTACAATAAATGTAAAATTAATATTATTATTATTTGTTACAGATTAAATCCATTCCGTAACTTATGAACACATGTCGATCTTCGACTATTCTCGGAATCCCATTTATGACGTGACCATGAGATCTTGGCCCACTCCTCAAGATGGAGTGACAGTTGTACAGTGGTACCGTTGTAATAGTTGGGTAACCTAGTTTTTATATAGTTTTACAGCAAATAGCCGGTTTATTTCTTATTTGATGATAAATTCAACCAAGAATACGGTTATTATAAAAAGTAATTATAATAGTACCATAGACGCATGTTTTATTTAATTCTGAAATAATGCTCACATAACAGTATGAGCTTATGAAAACAATTAGCACGTATTGTTTAGTTATAAAGCAAACTATTTGAAAATTCGTTTCCTAACATATTGCATACTACATCTAACAGGTTAGGAATTATTATTATTTATAAAACATTAAGATGAGTACATGCTGGCTATAGGTACGCGTATACTCACCCAGCGTCGTCGTCAGGTTGTCCAAGAATCGGAGGTTGGACGGTCGACTCCGTTCCAGCGTATCCTGCCACTTTTCGATAAGCTCGTGTATCTTGAGGTAGTTCTGGGCGAACTCCAATTCCAGCCTTTCGATGAAAGTCATGTTCTTCCTGAAACGAGAACTGTTCTTGTAGGCCATTTCGTCTTTTATGAGTAGCTAACACTTCCTAAAATACCATGTCCGGTTTTCAATAAACACCAAGAAGAAATCACCAAGAAGACCAGCTCCGAAACAAAAACTGTTGTATTTTTTTTTTAATTTTACTACGGAAGGTTACAAATGAGAAGTTTATTCGTCTATCCTAAACCTTTTAATCAATCAACTCAAAGAGAAACGAGAAAAACTTATTTACAATGAGTGAACTTTCATAAATGAAATAGTTTAGTTTATACAACACTTTTTTGTTTTGTTTTTATAGTAAAAGAACAGTGTTATTAATTCAACGAGAAAATCATATGACTGTTTTTAGAACGATTCTACGCAATCATACTACGGAATAGTAAAGAGGAGACAACGATTTTTGAAGATGTAGAAATTAAAACCCATGATTGAACATTATACTTTTTTTTTCATATCTGAATTCGACATTCAACAACATATGATGATGATGTATTTAATTTCTGATACAGACTGATTAGTATTTAGTATGCAGTGTTTAGCAACGCTGTATAGGAGAGAAATTTGGAAGTATTGAAAGATTTGAGAGAAACATTTTCCACACGATAATCAGAGTGATCTGGGATCTGAGTTCTAACATGTGGAGAAGGATCAATAAGGAAATGTTTACATAAACTGACCAATCAATATCTAATGATATAAAGATCAGGAAGTTAAGAGTAGTGGGCATGTAGCTCGTGCAAATCCATCAGGAAGAATCTACACAGCAATGAATGCCTCAAAAGTAGGCAAAAGACCAAATGGAAGGCCAAAAAGCAGATGGATAGTTCAAACTAGTAATAGAGCTACATCCAGAAAACTGGAATGAAATAATACAACAATGGTCGAGAAGGAAGGGCTGGTTAAGACAACAAAATATATACAATGTCTATAGCACTCCTCGTACATAAAGTATTTCTCCAAATTTATTTTTGAATATATGTCTTTACATCAATACTTTTTATATTCTAAATATTGAAATTAATTGTTTGAGTTTAAACAAAAATTGTTATTATGCAGTCTCACAATGTTTTGTTTTATAAATAAGTAAGATTTCATTGCGAAGTACAATAATTATAATTAGTAAAGGTTTTTTTTTTTCTCACGACACTTGACTTCGACTTTTTGCATGAGTTTTCTAGCAGCATAGCAGTTATAGTAAAAGTGCTGAATTACTATTTAAAATGAATATGAAAAGTTCCCTGCAGCTCAATTGCATAGATTATAATGACATCAACAAACATTAATTGAAAACTTATTGAATATTTAATAGTTGACCGTTGCATTATAAAGGAAGGAGATGGTCTGGGGTGGCGGTCATAAATAGGCTGAATAGTGGTAAAACTATTTTATTAAAAGCCAACGTTTCGACTAGAATTTGCAGATCTTCTTCAGGGAGGTGTGTTCAGCTAGGAGTTTCACTTAGAACTGAGGAGGAGTTTCACTCCTAGCTGAACACACCTCTCTGAAGAAGACCTGGAAAGTCGGGTAGAAACGTTGGCTTTTAATAAAAAAAATTTGCCACTATTTAGCCTATTTATGACCGCCACCCCGGACCATCTCCCTCCTTTATTAATTGAGAACATTTTTATGAATTTTAGACGGTTAAACGGATAGAGATAAATCTGATTCTTGGCACTGAAAAGTTTAAGAATTTTATATAACAACTCTGAATGATATCAATAAGTTCCATTAGCGGATCCAAGATTTAATTTTTTTTTGGGGGGGGAGGCGCTTCAGCCCGAAAGATTCTTTTCTCATATACATATAACGATAATTGATTTTAAAAAAAATTAACTACCCATATGAAATTGTGTTTAAGTGATTCTTGAAGTCCTATTAAATGTAATTACAGGAACAAGAATACTTTAAGAGATAGTTTTTAATATTTTTTTCTGTATAACAAGGTTATATTTTACTATTTTGGGGGAGGTATCAGCCCGAAAGCCACCTCCCTCCCTGTAGATTCACCTGTGATAAGCTCTATAAAAAGCTACAGAACTTGTGAGAACAAAATTATAAGAATAAAAAAAGGTATTAGAAAATTTCTTAATATTTTATGTTGTCTTAATAACTTTTATATTATTAGTAGAAATAGATAAAGATCGTGTGTATTAATGAATGACTCAATAGTAGGCAAAATACCAAGTGGATAAAGACAAAGAAATACTAGAATTTTCGTAAATAAAATATTTGTAGATTAGGATAAGATGAAGCTATTTACGAAGTTTCAGGCGAATGTTAATAATTTGACATAAAGTATGGTACGTACCAAGGACTATCACCGATAATGCCTAATAACAAGTACACCTCCCAGAAAAGGCTGTAAAAAATAACTGATGTAGACAAAAAAGATTCTCATTTATAGTCGTAAATATACGTAATAATATGAAAGGTATCGAAAGAAAAAGTTTCAAAAGGTTTTAGTTTGTTATTTTTAACAAATTAAAAACAAAAATTTAACCCCGACTCAAAAAATATTGCACATATATTCATTGACATCAAGTTACTGATCGTTGTCTGGACAATTATTAGCATAGATGAAAGAAATTCGGTATTTTGAAAATAAATTTAAAAATGTTTATTTTATAATTATTTAAGTAACAGGCTTAAAGGATTTTGTGAAGGTGAATTTCAATATAGTATCGAAAATAAAGAAATAATACACTACTAGATCAGGAGAAAATAAATATCGGCTGTAAAGAACTAAAGAATACTGAATTTGTCATAAGAGTTTTTTTTCTTACCTTGATAACCCTTGAAACATTAGAAATCGTTTCTATAGAAACGTCGTAGAGATCTTCAAAATCGCCTTGTTTTTTAAGGCGAAAACTAATGAAGCCTTGAGGTTATGCCTTTGATTCTCTAATTATTACTAATTTGTAACTGAATCAAAACCTTCTGAACATTTGTAATAATAATAATTCTCTTGACTGAACTAAACAGATGTCAATTAAACTAAAACTATTTTCTGGGTCCAGTAATTATTATCTCAAACCTCACCTATTTTTCAAAGGGCTATAGTAATCTACACAACTATGCGAAAGCAATGGCTCACACCACGATGCTCTGTAAATATCATATGTTATTTAGTTCAGTGTTATGAAATAATTAAAACGTTGATAAATATTTGTTGTTCAAATATCTTTTGTTAATATCCGTTTATAAATTCACAGTTTCGTTTTTTTTTTTCTTAAACATCATCCTTAATTAAAAAAAAAAAGAAATGTAAAAACTTTTATAACATAATCATCATTATATTTCAGGTTTATTAATAGATAACTTAAACCTATGACGTTATCATTCACATAATATTATCAATAACATCTTCTTTATTAAATAAGTAACATAATATCAAAAAGGCCTGGAAGGAATCTATATTGGAAATAAAGATTATAAACAGCTGTTCCAAAAAAAAAAGTCTTATTCATTTTTATAACATAAATAAGTCTCTTATTTCAAACATGAACCCTAATCGATTTTTTACGGAAATCGAGATAATTATCGATCCCCACGTGTAAACACCCAATGGTTCCGATGGTGCAATTATTATTTCTCAATATTTTTCATAAATATTGAAATCAGTAGTGTGAAAAAAAAATTATTTCCGAAAACGGCCTTTTTTTCTAGGAATGCAATTAAGTTATATGCCTTTAATATTTAAAAAAAAAATAATATTGTTTAACCTTATATCTAAATCAGGGCTTAAAATCGATAATAAAAAAAATCAAAGTCGAGTAGTCGAGTAAATTTTTATTTTATTTTTAGCCATCCTCAAGATTTATTATACACAAGACAATATATTAATACAATTATATATATACATATGCAATCTTTAGATCATTATGACTATCTAACAATAATATCGTATAGTTATATCGAGTGAGTTAAGGCTCCAGCAAAGATTATATGCTATGAGTTTAAATCCCGTTCGCGAGATTAAATAAAAAAAAAAAAAAAAAAAATATGTATATAAATAATTAATAATAAATAAATAAGTACCCTCTCTCTCTCTCTCTCTCTCTCTCTCTCTCTCTATATATATATATATATATATATATATATATATATATATATATATATATAGTGCAGGCACAGCTGGCAGAAGTTAATCGATTTCAGAAATATACTATTAAGAAATATGTAGAATGATAATTTAATGAAAATGCAAAAGTCGGTTGGTATGGAAAACGAACTTTTGTAATATTTAAATCTATTAGGGTTATTGGAATTATTAGATATTGTTATATTGGATTTTATATTTGCTTACTTATTATTGAACTTTGTCCATCTAGTTCAAATACTGATATAATAGTTTAGGTGTCAAAATAACTGTCGATGTACATCTTGCTTTTGAAAAACCACTATGCTCTTGTCTTTGAATTCATCCAGGAGATTTCTTGCTATATTATAGGCATTTTTTGAATTCTTTACGATAGAAAAAGCTATCTATCCCATCTTAGAACAAGACTTAAAAAGGTTATTTCTTTATATTTTATAGATTATTGTGCACTTTTTGTCTTGAATATGTAACGTAATGGTGGGATACCTGTGCCTTTCGTGCTGTTTAGTGCAATATTAATAAATGAAATCTCTGGTAATAATTTATATTCGATTATACAGATTGTTAAATCTTCAAAATCAAAAGTTATGTGTTTAAAATTAATTTTAAAAAACAACAGTATTTGAAACATTGGCATCTGATCTCAAAAAAGATTCCGAAACGATTGCTACCTATAAAGGAGAAAGATGGTCAGTTGAATCCAAAGGTTTTGTCAAAGCTCAGACTGTAAAAGGAGATAATATTAAATAGAAGCATATTATAAAAAATTTTTATAAGTCCTGGATATAAAAATTGTAATTTAATTTGAAAGTTGTTTCAATGAGATTTTCTTCTTTTGCATAAATAATTAAATTACACATATTTCCACTAGTAAAAATTATTAATAATTATTTCAATCATATGTCCGTATCAATCATAAATTTATATCATATTAGATAACATACTGAAGGTTGCAACAGTGTTGTTGTACACTGTAGCAAACTTACATATATAAATATATAAAATTTCCTTTACTTTAACATCACACCTGCTTATTGTCAAGACAATGACGAATATGGATAAAAATAAGAAGAGAAAAATAGATGGTACAGTTTTTTCGATTACTCGCTATCTCATCATTTCTGGCATATTTTTCTGGAGGTACAACCAACCTATTGGGCCTGAGTGGGAAGGTCGAGACTCATTTCGGGGGTCTCCCATGAAGTAAATTTCAACACACCCAGGCCGGAATCAAACAGGCGTCACCAACTCGAGAATTCGTAGTTTAAACTTTAATAATTTTAGCCAACTCAACTCAAGATTGCCATAGCAAAAGTGGGTAAATGTTAGAAACTCATGTTCCTTCTATTCCAACTATAGACAAAAACTATGCTTGAGTTTATATACTCCCATGATATCTTTGTGTAATAAGTGCACGAGGAAAGTACTTATTTCAGTGTTTTTCATGTAAATTAATCATCAAAATAATCATCGCTTGTAATGTTTAAATAGATTTAGGATATTTAAAACAAGATTATAAAGATTATGTCCGTTTTAACTTGAAATTTTATAAACTACTTTAATAATCGGAACACGTGTGGGACAGAAGAGGTATCGAAGCCATCAATCTGCAACCGATGGATTCTAATGGTAGCTGTCGTTGAGTTCGATCACCTCTGTCCGCAATGTGTCTCTTGTCACCTGTGGATCATGTGCCTAATGTGTCTTCAACACAGCCAATAGTTTGACCATTCTCTATGATTTTGGTTTGGGTTTTCTACAAAATTTGTTATATAAGCGAATCATTAGAATCATTAGATAGAAAAAAAAAACATTTGGAATTCATGGGCATTGTAGCTTGCACACCATTTTTGTTCAGTATATACGTATCGATCTTTCAAATATTCAGGTATTACAAATAAAAAATAAAATAAAATAACAATAGGAATAAGACTTAAATAATGTAAGAATGATAATATGAGAACAAGAAATAATAAATATTATATAATGGTGTGGAGATGGTTAACCGTAGTTGTAATTTGAGTAGAAGTTAATCGGGATGTGGTCAATATTTATTACTATATTCTATAATAGTATAAAAACACTATTATTTAATTTTCCAACGTTTCCAACACCAGTGGATATTTACGATTCAGAAAACTAAAATTTCTTTCAATTTCCATGTGAATTCAAAGGCTCACTACCTTCGTAAATAAAAATATAATTATAAAAAGGACATGAAGAAGTAGAGGAGCACAGTGGTGTTAAATCGATTGACAGAAGGGTTACTAATTGACAGGATTTTATCCACTGTCCCAGCCAGTTCTCAGACCACTTGTCCTCCCGGATCAAGGATTAGTGATAACGAGTCATTTAAATGTATATATTTATGTCTGTACATACTCAGCAAATGGCTGGGTCAGTCTGACTGAATACGTATAAACTAGTTTACACTTGCGAATAGTTCGCATAGTGTACTGGTCAGTGAAGAATGAATAGCTAATGTAATATAAAATAAGTGGATTCAATACATTATAAGAAGAATGAACTTACTTTATATGTTTGGTAAAAAGAAAATAGCTACATTTTGGCTATGGAGCCGCGGTTAGTTAAGGCGCCTACAAAATTTTATAACAAATGTTCAAATCCCGTTCGAGGGAATTAATAACACACAAAAAAATTATAAAATAAAATAATTAAATGCAGGCCCGTACTATTGGCTACTTGGACAATTGCGGTGCGGGTTCGATTCCCGTATGGAGACGATAACGTCCGCACTCTGAGCTTTATAGAGAGGTGAACGACCCCTGTGACTTAGCCATAGCTTCTGGTCTTCCAGATTAGGGTTTGGGCAAGGGTTGATAATCCTCTATCCCATAAATACGTGGTGGAAGATTGCAGCAAAATATTGCCAACCATCCTGCAGGAAAGCTCCTGATGAAGAGGGAGTGAATGCGTATTGATGAAGAGTAGTGATCGCGTCGGGTTAGCGAACTACGTTATTCTTGGATATCTCGAAGTAGAGAGAACAAAACGATCACTACGAGCCCTATAAGAGCCTATAAGAGCCCCAAGCCGCTGAAGAAAACCCATGGCTTTAAAAGTCGAAGTCAATGGGCATAGGTAGAAAAAACAAAAAAACATTTTGGGAAGATTGACAATTTTTCCCAATAAAAGGAGATTATCTTCAAATTGAAGGCTCAATCGTTGGATTTTGTAACGATTATCAAAGTTAATGTGTACCGATAAAAAAAAAATAGGCTTTGGGAAGTAATATATAAAGATACTTTAACTTTTATGTCATTAGGGATCCAAGGCAAAGGTAGCATAAAGATTTGCAAGAAGTAAGACTACGCTTATGTGTGAAATATACCTAATAATTGTATTATTAGTTTATATACATATATACAAGTAAAATTGATATTTATTTCATAATTAAATTTTTATCAATCTTGCATGAACAACCTGCAGCCTGATTCAACCACCAGAAATTCATCCCGCACAGCAGGATACCATTGCGGGTCACTTTAAGGAGCTCTGCATCTAAATTGGACAGTTGTTCTCTATAAACTCTGAAATAAATATTGGTACTATTTAAATAAATTTTATTATTTTATTTTTCTTAACTCTCATCATTATATTGGTCTGTTAAATTTTTAATGATATACGATTTAAGTATAATATTAAATATTTTATTGAACCTTATAAATCAAAAATAAATTATTTCATTTAAATAAGAAACGGAATGAAAACACAATATTATAAAAGGAATTTCGATAGAAATGAATAATCGTTTTTTGTTAAAATTTTAAGTTTTTAATATATTTTTTCATTATAATTTTATTTATTCTCAAAATATTTCTACTTGTTTATTTATATTTTGAAATAGTGATGCAATTGGAAGAGAAGCGCTGGGATCTCTTTGAGCCCTGCATTGCCTTTCACATTAGAGCGGCTAGGCATGGTTCAGACTTCCAATATACTTCTTAATATATATATATGTTTTTACTTACATTTTTTCTTCTTATTTTATTTTATTCTCAATTAATATTTAAATTATATTTTAAATTGTACATAAAATGTATGAATGTAAACTAGATTGCCGCGCCTTGTATCATTTGTTTTCAATAAAATTAATTCATATATATATATATATATATATATATATATATATATGAATTAATATACAATATACAATATATATATATATATATATATATATGAATTAATATACAATATACAATATATATATATATATATATATGAATTAATATACAATATACAATATATATATATATATATATATATATATATATATATATATATATATATATATATATATATATATATATATATTGTCCCCGAAGATACTAGCAATAGGTTCAGAGTTTTTATTAATGAAGTTTTTGGTCGAACTCCAGCTTCGCCCAAACCATTTTCAACGTTAAAGCATATAAATAGACACAGTATGCGAACTAAAAATAATACAATAGAAAAATATTGTATTTGATACAAGATTTTGACGGAAATTAATTTTTATTGTTCAGTATAGCTAAAATGTAATGCTTAATTTTCATTTTTATCGAATATCAATATTAAAATTAAAAAATATTAAGAGGTTATCAACACTTAGCCGGAATGATTATTAAAAAAAACGGCCATGCACTTATAAATCTAATGAATATATCACGGTAGTTATCAGCAGTGTAGATACTGCATCAGATAAACGTTACAAAGATATCGAAAAGTGGGAGCAAACTCCTCAGTTAACAAGTATGTTCTGGATACTCTGGATCGGGTGTCTTTTCATTTCCATTGGAAATGGAGAATCCAATTCAGGATCTATGTCCACAGATTACAAGGAACTAGAGAGTTTTTTTAATAACTTATTTTTCCATGGAGGTGACGCAGACACTCTCTTGTACTTCGAAGGAGACATGGAGGATGTGCATGGAGAATTGGGAGACAAAGTGACGGTAGATAAATAAGTAGACGGTAGATTATATTATAATTACGACGTAAACTATAATATAAGCTATATAGATAAAAGTATACCTCTATCGAAACAAGAAAGTTCTCATAGCCGACATTCCGTTTCCATAAAGAAAAGCAGTTACTTTAATATGTGTGTGTTTTTTTTAAGTAAGCTACGTTTTTTGTTGAATCGGAACTAATTTAATATATATATAATTAGCGATCGCAATATAGTAAACTAGAAAAAAACTTCTTCAAACGCCAGTTAATTGAAGTCTATGAATAAATAAATCAGTTTCATCAGTTCTCCAAACGAAAATACCACCTTTATGATGGACCTATGTTGTTAACGTATATTTATTTTTTTTAATTATTTATTTAATTTTTTGTTATTTATTTAATTTTTATATGATCGAGTCTTTTTTAAAATAAGTGAAATTACATTAGGTTCATAAAATTTTTCTAATATCTTTTTTCTGGTTCTGATTTCATAAGCTTTCAAACCATATTAATTAAGTTTAGATTAGTCAAGTAATAAGTTAAGATTATTCACCATTTCATTGATTAATTATTTGATGCCAATTTCCGCCTTCTCAAAGTACGTGTTTTTCAAAAATAATTAAAATAATTTATTACATTTTTTTTTGTAATCTTAAAAGCTTTTTAATCAATTTATCTCTTAAATCAACTCAATATTTGTGAACAAAACCAATTTTTCTGAACATTTTTCGTTTATTTATTTTTTTGTTTATATATTTGTTTATTATTTATTTTACTGTTATATGACAGTCTTTTTTAAAATAAGTGAAATTACATTAGATTCATAAAATCGTCATTTGTTTCTAATATCTTTTTCTGGTTTTGATTGCATAAGCTTTCAGACCATATTAATTAAGTTTAGACTAGTCACGTAATAAGTTAAGATTATTCACCATTTCATTGATTAATTATTTGATGCCAATTTCCGCCTTCTCAAAGTACGTGTTTTTCAAAAATAATTAAAATAATTTATTACATTTTTTTTGTAATCTTAAAAGCTTTTTAATCAATTTATCTCTTAAATCAACTCAATATTTGTGAACAAAACCAATTTTTCTGAACATTTTTCGTTTATTTATTTTTTTGTTTATATATTTTTTTATTATTTATTTTACTGTTATATGACAGTCTTTTTTAAAATAAGTGAAATTACATTAGATTCATAAAATCGTCATTTGTTTCTAATATCTTTTTCTGGTTTTGATTGCATAAGCTTTCAGACCATATTAATTATGTTTAGACTAGTCACGTAATAAGTTAAGATTATTCACCATTTCATTAAATAATTATTTGATGCCAATTTTCGCCTCCTCAAAGTACTTGTGTTTTTTCAAAAATGATAAAAATAATATATTACATTTTTTTCTCTAAACTTAAAAGCTTTTTATTCAATTTACCTTTTAAATCCACTAAATATTTGTGAACAAAAACAATTTTTCTGAACATTTTTCGTTTATTTTTTTTTAATTGTTTATATATGGTTTTTGTTATTTATTTAATTTTTATATGATCGAGTCTCTTTTAAAATAAGTTAAATTACATTAGGTTCATAAAATCGTGGATTTTTCTAATATTTTTTTTCTGGTTCTGATTTTATCTGGTTATTTTTATATGACAGTCTTTTTTAAAATAAGTGAAATTACATTAAATTCTAAGAATCGTGATGTTTTTTGTGGTTCTGATTTCATAAGCTTTTAGATTACATTAATTAAGTTAAGTTTATTCACCATTTCATTAAATAATTATGTGATGTCAATTTCCGCCTCCTCAAATTATCTGTATTTTTAAAAATAATTTATAACATTTTTTTTCAGTAAACTTAGAAGCTTTTTATTCAATTTGAATAATATTTTCTTACAGTTTGTTATGCCTCGTTTTCAATGCAAAAAAACACCAATGCTTATTTTAAAATACAAAACTTACAATTCCTAATTTTATGTGAAGAATTAGATAATTTTCTACATCCATCTTTTTTTTTTTCGTAGGTTTTGAAGTCTACGATAATCTATTTAAATATTTTATATTATTTATGACACACACAAATATTTAATACTTATACAAATAATTTTTGGCAGGTAGGGATTAAACAGGGTCTCGTAATTCGTGACAACTTTAAGATATCTTATCCGGACAGCAACACCAAGCTTTGCTCAATGGAACTGGAGAGCAAACAAGAAATCTCCGTCGACAGCACCGGAAAGTAAGTTTAACCAAATCTATAATGAAAATATGAAACCTGTACCACTACAACCCATAAAGGGTCTGGGGTTCAGTACTATTTAGGGAAAGCACTGTTTCTAGGTCCACAGTTGTGCAAGGAGGTGATTTGACCGAGATCACGCTCAACCGCCAGGTTTTCCCCCTTAATCAATTATTTAATTAAGGGTACCCCCTTTATAGAGGCTGGGTGTGCCCCAGGAGGGACTCCTGATCCAAGGTCGCCCCACGGCCAATGAAACAGATAAATAAATTGTCTACCATGAGCCGGGGTTCGAACCTGGGACCTTTGCATTGGAAGCTCAGTGCCCTACCACTGAGCTACCCCACTCCCTTAAAAAATATAACACCCTTGAGATATAGAATGCTTCTTAAAGTTTTATTGTATAGTTGATCAAATTATCATGGAATAATTATTAGGAATATTAGAAATAATATGTTAGTATTCTTTGAGTGCCAGCATGCCTAAGTCATTGTATAAAGTGTTGTTATTCAGGTACCATGGTGCTTGGGTAATTTTCCATAGTATTTTACACTAAAAATTTTTATTTATTTTTTTCAATTCTGCAATTCCTTATATCTTTAGTGGTTTTAAAATAGATCCTTAACTACTTAATTTTAGTTTTTTTTTTTTTTTTAATTTGGAATGTCGTCTTAACAGTAAGTGCAGGAATTTAACCTTTGCAGCAAGAGGAAGTTACGGGGTCAACAATTTCATTGACACTTTTTTTGGTGATACTAGGTTGAAAAATATTAATAAAAATATATAAAATATTAATTATATTACATATTAAATATTAATATTAATAATATAAAGTATTAATAAAAATATACCCTTGTCCGAGGATTCTTGCCAATCCATCCTAGGAGTCGGGAAAACAATCTTATATAAAATTCCAACTTTTTCTTTTGTCTTTGTTCACTTCATTTTTTTTTTATATCCAATTGGAAATCAGCAGAAATTAATAGCTCTATAAATCATAATGAATGGGACAAACCAGACTCCCGCGAACGTATTAAAACTGGAGATATCGAATAACATTGTTTAAGGAGATTTTTTTTATTTATTCCTAACAAAGGCGTAAAATCTAACCTTTCCAACGGTTTTAGGGACGTTGAATTTGGATGAAATCCTCCAACTTCACTCATATTCTCCAGGAAATCCTCATGTCGTTGGAGAACTTATGAATGCTTTTGTGAACGACATGATAATAAATACTTCAATAAAACCAAGTCCAAAAATTTATATTTTTTATTTTAATGTTGGTGCGTCTTTACAAGATTTAAAGTTATCAAGAAACGAATTTGAATTCCTTTTTTCATGGCACAAATTTCCTTTCCTACTTAACCGGCAACATCAATTATTTTTTGTAATTTATCATATATTTTGATTCATTTAATACAATTAATTTACTTTTTTCCTATTTTCGACAAAAGAAATCTATTGATATATTATTACCTACAAATCCATTCAGAACAATTGCAAAACAGTATTTTTTTCATAGATAAGAACTATTAGACATGAGTCTATTATTTTTTGACCTAGCATCACCAAAAATATAAACCGGTTTCATTGAATCCGCTGACCACACGTCTGCAAACTCTCCTTGTTAGATTTAAAGTGGCACTTTTTTTTCTTTATGTGTGAATCAAATGTGATTCTCTTATCAAACGACAGCTATTGCTTGAAAAAATAAATATATCATTTTTATTTTGATGCACCATCTTTATAATACTTTCGATTGGGTATTAAGTAAAAAATGAATGAAACGAAAAGTCTATTCATTATCTTTACACCAAATCATGGTTCATGCATACAGGTTTTCTTCAATTATGTTCCTATTCATACATCATAAGAAGCGCGTTGTTTGAGATTCCACTTGGACCATAGACTGACACAGAGAACTCACATTTAAAAAAAAAAACCACTTAACAAAAGATTGAAACTATTATGGAGGTTACTTGCCAAACGCTTCAAATTATCTTTAATTGACAAACTTATCGTCTACAAATTGCTTATAAAAATGTTTATAGACTTAGAAATGAAACAATGAGGTGCTGCGAAAATTTCCAACCCTCATAATTCAAATTTTTAAATAAAAAGTTATTTGAAAATTTGCAGATGTTCTATGTGACAAATGATTTGTTAAAAAATATTCTGTGACACAGACCCATCTTGCTTATAAAAATGTTTATAGACTTAGAAATGAAACAATGAGGTGCTGCGAAAATTTCCAACCCTCATAATTCAAATTTTTAAATAAAAAGTTATTTGAAAATTTGCAGATGTTCTATGTGACAAATGATTTGTTAAAAAATATTCTGTGGTACAGACCCATCTTGCTTATAAAAATGTTTATAGACTTAGAAATGAAACAATGAGGTGCTGCGAAAATTTCCAACCCTCATAATTCAAATTTTTAAATAAAAAGTTATTTGAAAATTTGCAGATGTTCTATGTGACAAATGATTTGTTAAAAAATATTCTGTGGTACAGACCCATCTTTATCAAATTATTAACATCCACCTGTCTCTTCATAAATAGCTTCATCTCATCGTAACGTACAAATATTCTATTTACGAAAATTCTGGAAATTTGGGCGTTTTCAATCTGGAGGGGAGCAAGCTTCATCTATTTAATTAGGTACTAAAAACTCAGAAATACCCATTTGCTTTCCACTTGGATCGTAACATAGTTTGATCACAAAATCGATAAAAAAGATGACCTACAAAAATATTGCGCAGTTTGGCCTATATAACCTTGTTGTTTTGACAATTGTGTAGGGAATGTAGGTTACGCCAAACGGCTCAATATTTTTGAAGGCCATTCTGAATTCCTAGAATTTTTGTAAATAAAATATTTGTGGTTTTTATTAAGGACTATGCAGTTTATTTTGAAAATCATTGACCTTGATAAAATATTTTGCTAGAAGTAATGACAAAAAACCATCTTTGAGAAATAATATATAAAAATTGTAGGTACTTAAAAATCCGTTCTAAAGGTTTTTTTTTCGTTTTAATTTGCTTCAAAGAATATATGTTGTTTTTTTTCTGTTGGCATTATTTTATTAGGTACTAAAAAAATCGTGAATATCCATATGATTTCCACTTGAATCGCAAGATAATTTGAGCACCAACTCGAGAAAAAAGGTGACTTTTAAAAATACTGAGCCGTTTGTCGTGACTTACACTCCAAATTTTCAAAACACCAAGATTGTACAGACCTAACGGCCCAATATTTTTTAAGCCACCTTTTCTTTCAATTTTATAATCAAATTATCCAACAGTCCAAGTGGAAAGCAAATGGGTATATACGAGTTTTTAGAACCTAACTAAATATATAAAGTTTGCCGATCTCCAGATTGAAAACGCCCAAATTACAACAGTTTTCGTAAATAAAATAGTTTTAGGTCACGATGAGATGAAGCTATTCACGAAGTTTCAGGAGGATGTTAATAATTTAATAAAAAGGTGTCTGTACCGCGGAGTAAAAGGAATCGTTCATCCAAACGGTTTTAGATACTGCAATACAATATCACAAAAACTTTCACTAGAGACTGAATGAGAACATAAATCCATTTATTCCAAACACTTAATTTCACCAGTAACCCGTACATCCCACAATGACGACTTTTATGGTTCTTGCCAAGAGAATTTAAAACCAAATTCGTTTCGAGTATGAGTACAGGTTTGTTTGTTGAAAAAAAAAATATTTCGCAGGTTGAAAAAATCAAACACGACAAATTTATTTATGTATGTTGATGAAACATAATTTTTACAGTATTGATATTTGTAACTCATTTTTTAACAGAGTTGGGTTAAAACTGGACCATTGCAGTCTACTCCTCCAATTCAGCGTCTCCAACAAGACAGGAGTGACGATCAAACCAGAAACGGTCCTCCTTAACAGTTGCACCGTGAGAAGAAACGACGGTTCTCTTTCTCCGTGGGGCCGGCAGGTGACCCAGGGGCTGTCCAATCTGTTAATGAGGAAGGCGGAAGAGTACCTCAACCATCACTACAACTCTACAGATTCCTTATCTTTCGGTTACTTTAAACCAGATCATCCTACTGTGGAGGAGTATAAAGACATACTGGATACGATTTTAATTATTGTCTGATGTTTTGAATATTTTTAATCATACAACTGTAGAGGATAAGTAAGACCATACGTTTAATTGATTTTATGAATAAAAACAAATTTTCAACAAATTAAACTGGCAACGTTTCGGCTAGATTGCCATTTTCAAGCCATCTGTAACAGAATAAATGTATAAATTAACTTGTTAACAAAATTCCATCAGGAGTATGATTTATATAATGTTGGGTTTAAGAAATCAACGATTAACATCACTATCACATTATGTTACAAGTAGTTTATGTATGAAATTAATCGCTAATTATGTCTTACAGACGACATAGCCGAAACATTGCCAGTGTAATAAAATAAAACCTTATTGGAATAAACACAGCAAGAACCTGAAACATAATTTCTCCTTAAATAAAAAGATGTATTTTTTTTAAATTATTGTTCTAAGCTTATATTGTAATTCACATACAAATATTTATCAATTGAAATAATACTACACTTTTTTCCGAGAAAAAAAAATCCATCTTACCTCCCTCCCTAATATGAAAGCTGCATATGCCCTTGATAATAATACAATCTGCCTCATTTAAGGGCAACCTGAATTAGAGCTACAAGAGTTCATTCATAAAATACAAAGATATGAAAAAGAGATAAATAAAGATCATTAAAAAAAATAATTTAATATATGACAAAAAAAAAGTCGAAATAATAAATAACAATGATAAGGATAATAAATAATAATAAAATTAAAATATGAACTTCAGAAATAAATAATTCTTCTTAACCACATTCATTCCTTTGCAATACAAAGTGAAAATATAACAGTTACAGGAAAATTGTCATTTTTTTGTAGTGAACATTTGGAAATTTTAGAGTGTCCTACGAGCTAGGCCACCAACGTTTCATAACATAACTCAAGAATATAGAAGAGCATTGGGAACTAATGGAGGGTGGCCTACACCGTAGCGTTAAGAACTAAAGAATTCGGACAAAATAGAAATACTCCATGTATGAGAGTATGTTGAATTGTTCCAAAGTAGTATATAGTTTGCAATTTAGTCTTTTATTGTATTATTAATGTGAGATATGCTACCTATGGTCCGCATTTCCATGATCTTATTACAAAAAAAAAATTTACATACTGCTTGCTTCTGGCATGGTAAAACATTTACTAGTTAATTGGGTTTTGAGTGAATAAAGACTCCATTTCAAAATTTAAAAATATCCTTATAGTTATAATGGACCAGTTTTATAAGTATTCACATATTTTTGGGCGCTTTGTACAAACAAGTAAATCATATTTTATTTTATATACTTGAAGTATATTTACATATTATACTCTGTATACTGTCAATAAAGACAATACATTAAAAATAATTAAAATATATAAATATAGAGAGATATATAGAAAGAGAGAACAAATAAAAACAAAGTACTTTAAAACGTTAAGAAGAAATTCGGCGAATTTTAGAGCCGGAAAGTTTCCCACGTGCCTTACCAGGAAATTCTATCTAATTAGATTTATTGTGAAGGTAAAACGCCGTTTGCTATTCAAATGTTTTTTTTAATATTTATAATTTAACACTTTGTATATATATACCTATATATATATATATATACATATATATATATATATATATATATATATATATATATATGTATATATACAATATATATATATATATATTATGTATATATACAATTCACTATAATGCGCTATATATACATATATTGCGCATCATAGTGAATTTATTTCGTTTTATTAACCAAATTCAAAATCCATAGTGTCGTATTACATTCGCGAATACTTCAATAAAACTTCAATCGCTGAGACAGTAATATTGCATTCTGTTTTGAAGAGCTTAAAAAAAAAATGAAAAAAAGTAAAGTTAAAGGATAACAACAATATTTGAAAAACTTTTTACAAGAAAATAAGAAAAAGAAAACGGATGTGGAGAAGAGATTTATTTTTTCATCGTCTTTAAAATGCCGTAAATCTAAGCTGATATACTCTTCTATAAATTAAGTTTACTAAAAGTGTAACATTTAAATAGTTTTTAGAGAAGTATAGGAGACAAACTAACACATACATTCACGCTAGTGTTTCGTCATATGAAGGATAGTGATTTTTCTTCTTCTATCTCGATTTCTTATCCCTCTATATATTGAAGGTATTTTTAAAATTCGGCATTTATGCTCTAACACATTATTTCAATAAGGATATAACCTACTTTTAATTTAACATTAATGTGATGCTTTTAAACAAACAAGTTCTTTTTTTATTATGCTTATTTATTTATTGAGTTATAAAATATTCCGTCACATGGACAATAATTATAGGAAATAGAATAAGGAAAGCTACTTTTAAAACCTGAATGTTTTATTTTTGATTTCCTGAAGGGTCAAGATTTTCATTAGCCAGTGGTCATTAAAAGAAAGAACTTGAATGAAGGAAAATGTAGTTTGAATGTAATAGGAACAAAGTCACACCAGATAAGTTTTGATGTCTAGAAAATAGTTTGGTTAAGAAGATGGTAAAGAAAACAACTCATAAAAAGAATATCTTTTATAGAATCTCGTATGCTTGAAAACCCCACAAACTTGAGCTCTATGATTGATTTTCTTTTCCAATTTTCCCTACCTCCTTATTTCAGACTTACATTGTTCTAGAGGTACAACCAATGCTAACCAGAGCAGACTGCATTCACACTGTGTGGACAAAAAAATTAAAATACACAGAAGCAAAATAACTACTAAATATTATTAAAAAAGTAAACATAATTAATAAAAATAAAATAACTTAAAGATAAGTAAATTAAAAAAACAAACAAACACAAACATATTCAATACTACACTAATTCACTACTATAATATATACTACAAAACACAGTACACTAATTCAAACAAGTTAGAACCGTTTCAGGATACAACTGTAGAAATGTTCAGAATAGTAGATCCCAGGCATATTTATACTTTAAACCTACTTTTAATTTAACATTAATGTGATGCGTTCAATAAAACAAGTTTTTTTTAATGGTTATTTATATATTGAGTAATAAAATATTCTTTCACATGGACAATAATTATAGTGAGGTAAGATTGCATTCACACTGTATGGACAAGAAATTTAAAATACACAGAAGCAAAATAACTACTACATAATAATACAAAAGTAAACACAATAAATAAAAATAAAATAACTTAAAGATAAGTAAATTAAAAAAAAAACACAAACATATTCAATACTACACTAATTCGCTACTATACTATATACTACAAAACACAGTACACTAATTCAAACAAGTTAGAACCGTTTTTTTTTTCAACTGTAGAAATTTTCAGAATAGTGGATCTCAGGCATATTTATACTTTAAATATGTGATTTCAGTTTCTTACGACTTTTCTACCCCAAAGTCGATAACGCAAGAATCTTTCCGCCACTCCCAAGATAAAATATTTTATTGCTCATATTTTCTTTAAAACAGAGAAAGCGAAGGTAGAATTAGAAAAATTTCCTTTAGAATTACACTTGCTGCGGCCTGTTCCATATTTTCCCTGTATCATAGTATGAAACTTTTCTTTCCGAAAATTCAGAACTCCACAGAAATGTTGCCGCTTCAAAAAATCATAAACCAGCCAAAATATGCCCCCCTCAAAAAATTGTGGTGCAACTTGCGGCATAAAACCCCCTCTGGACACGCCTATACAGAACTATTTAAAAGATATGGTTATTTATACTCATGAGGCCTTAAAATGAGTATTACGTTGAAAGCTCAGATTTAAAATTTGTCAGGATCATAATACTTTAACCTTACTATACACTTAATATAGAAAGTAAGACTTTTCATTCCTCACTTAACGTGTCAGATATTTTTTTTTTTTTATTGTTCGCGTACTATCTGCATCGTGCCTGCTTGTAGAATTTGGAAGCCCATGTATTTGCGTAAAACTCTTGCTATAGTTGTTTTCCCTCTATAGATCTGTTAGAAAATTGTACAAGTCCATTCTCCAAGATAATTTATTAGGAAATCACGAAAGGTTAGAAAAACTGGCGACCAACTGCCCCGAATGCTCGACATGAGCCTAATACGAGGCGAACAAGAGCGTAGCGCGGTGTCATCGATGTACAACACCTGCCTTATCTCCGCCAACTGATTTACTGGAGCGCTGGAGCGCCCTATCACCGGCCGATCACATGAATGCACCTAATTCCAGCCCGGGCAGTTTAGCATTGGAAACGTTATGATAAATCGCCATTGGCGGGCTATTCTTTACCCGCCCATAAATCCGCCGAGGATCGCATTACTGTCTCAGCCCGGTCATTTGTAACTTTTCCGATACAAGCTCATTTCGTGTCCCCGTCTGCCTTCCATAAATATCATTTGGATACGATGCAACGCGGCTCTGGTGGCCTCCGGGGGACATGAGTCGAAAATCATGGTCCCTACAAATGCAACCAAAAATAGAACACGATGCAACACCATTTAGCGGAGGATAACTGGGTGTAAAGGGATCACGCACTCAATATCTTAAAGCTACTATCTTGTTACCAATTATTTATTTTTTTGTTCTCCCCTTCCTCGTCATTAAGGAAACACAGAGTTTTTCAGAGCCAGCGAGTGAGGGGAAGGAGGGATTAATGAGACTTAAAACGTTCACCCCCCCCCCCAGAACCGGGGCGCGTACTACTGATTATTTTATACCTTTAAACTTCGGTTTATCATCTAGGTGACGGTCATAAACGCGCGTTACCCCGCTAGGCCAACCCGCTACCTAGCTCGTTATCATGTCTGAATATCTCAAGATTTCTTATATTTTTATTGAACAAGTATACGCTAGTGAGAACTAGCATATCAGCCAGCTATCCTTCTCCTTAATGCATTTGATATTTAAGTAACATCAACGAAACTATGTCGCTATACATTATAACGTAATATTATTAATATAGCCTAATCAACACGCACAATAATTTCTTTTGTCCTCCCCTTCCTTGCCTTTTTAGGCTATACGGGGATTTCTCAGGGAATTCAGTTGGAGCGGGGATTAATAGCAGAGTTAAAAGTCTTGGCATCGGGATGCGAACTCGGTATTATTCTATTTACACATTATTTTCTATCCGGGTTGCCAGGCTTGCTATCCAGGGTTGCTTTTGCTCAGGCGTTAGCCCGTTCGGCCACCCTGCCCCTACACACACAATAATTATCAACGAAGCTTCAGTAAGTGAAGCACTTGTCGTATTAAAAAATAACCCTCTAGTTTTCCATATACATCTAAACTGATACTAAACTGATACCGTCATCTTACTCGCTCAAGAAATTGTAAAATATTTTACTGCGATGAAAAGCCTGCAATCCCAGTTTTTTTCCTTGTAAGAGTAAATCCATTATCTGGA